TGCTGTGACAGTCAATCTGATAACCAAGAGGGCTACTCGGTAACTAATGGGAGAGATGTGCTGGACAAAGGGATGACTCACGTCCAGGGTGATGGGGCAGGACAGTGGGAGATTTCATCACGTTACTTAGAATGGTGCTCAATTTAAAACTTATGAATTGTTTATTTCTGGAACATTGCACTTAATATTTTTGGACCTCAGTTGACCTTGGGTAACTGAAACCATGGAAAGTGATACCGCAGATAAGATGGGTGTGGGCTACTGTATGTAGATTCTTTTTCTTTTGTTTCTTCATGTCTTAGTCTATTTTAGAGTATAGATTCTCAGTGAAGGAACCACTCTGTACCTAAATTTTCTTATCTTTGGAGTTATTCTTTTTCCTTTCCCTCCCTTATCTCCTTTCTCCCTTTGCCCTGTCTTTCTCCTCTCCCTTCTTTCCACAGATTTTAAATCTTTCAAGTACTTTGCCAGATTCTGGGCATTGGTGAGCAAGATAGAGTCTTTGCTACCATAGCAACAGTAATTTTTATGTTTTCCATTATTTACTTAATATTTTCCTAGTATGACATGCGATATTACCTGATGACTTTGAAAATGAAAGCTGTGTTATTCAGAATTGTTGGAAGTAAAAAGAAAATGATGTTAATGGAAAACTTATAGGAAAAAACGGTGGAACTATTTCCATTCATCACTGATTGCTTTCAGAAATAAAATATTCCATAATCTTTGCCAAACAGAAAGAGCAACATTTACTTCAAACCATCTCCCCTGTCCCAAATCCCACCAAAACCCAAAACAACAACAAAAAAAATGCGTTAACTGAAGAGCATCTAATTTCCTCAGTCTGCTTTTAATTTTGCTGTGTACATGTTTACACTAACTCTTCATTGATTTTGTTTTCATTTCTGTTGTTTCAGTGTACACAGTGTTCCAGATTACTTTTCTGGCAACTGCTAATGTGGTTCGTGGCTTGGTTTTGTCTCATTTCTTAATTAGATGAAACAACATACTACTTATAATTTAGTTGCATATATGAACTGAAGAAATGGCAATATTCTGATAGGAAAGTCTCTGTGTTGACAACGAACCTAGGTAACATGGTAGAATGGCATCATATTTTTTTTTGGAATTCTTACTTCAATTCTTGTCTAAACCTAAGAAAAATAAATACGCTTTTCACTCATTTATTCATATAATAAACAAACATTTATTGAGTTCCCACTCTATGTTTGGCACCTATATGAATTGCTTGGAATATGTAGATTATATCCAGTCCTTATTCTTGAAGAGATCATGACTCAGTGGGTGAGACAGGCAGATAAGCAGATTCCTAGTATCATATAAGAACTATGGTTTCAGTGTACACAGAGAACTGTGAAGGCACAGAGAAGGGGTTCCAAACTTACGCTTGTGGGAGCCTGGTTAAGGACCTGCAGGAGGGGTCTGTTAGGTATTTTGAAGATTGAGTAGGAGTTGACCAAGAAGGGAAGAGAAGGGAAGGATATTTGGAGCTGAGGGGGATAGTGTTACGAAGGTGAAGAGGCAAGAATGTGTGATCACATGGAGAACTGCAACTCATTGGATATGAGTGGAGTTTAGGGTTGGAGTAGAGTGGGCATAGTGGTGAGAAACAAAATTGGTGAGCTCTCAACTTTCATTTATTGAGTGATTTTTATATACCAAGTACTTACCATGTGTTACGTTATTTAATTGTCTTTAATAGACTTTATTTTGTAAAGAAATTTATATAGGTTTGTAGAAAAACTTGAATAGAAGGTATAGCAAGTTCTCATGCATTTCTTGTCCCCACACACGCACAGCCTCCCCAACTATTAATATCCCCCACCAGACTGGTACACTTGTTACCACTGTTGAGCCTACATTGACACATCATTATCACTCAAAGTCCATAGTTGATGTTAGGGTTCTCTCCTGGTGAATTATGTCATATTTTGTTTGCTAAATGAATATTTATGATTCTGAAATATTGTTCACAACTGAGCCATGTGTTAAAATATGATTAAATTTCCTTTCTTGCATTATCCTGCTGTCTTTGAGGTTGGTAGCTGCCTCTCTGTTTGTTTGTTTGCATAGTAGTCTATATGTCTATCACCAGTGCCTTCCCAACCTCCCTTAGAAAAGTCTGAACCTCTTAATACCTTTAAAAACATTAAGCTTTAGATATTCTATCACTTTCTTTTTTTTTTTTTCTTGGTGGGTGAAGACATCTCTTCAATAATATGTGTCCTCTTAGTCTAATAGGTATTGATGCTCTCCTGGCCTTATACTGGGATCTGTACCATCCTGAAAATTCCCCTCTTCTTCTGCTTATATTGGATTTCCTGCTTCCTGGATTTCCTGTCTACTTTGTTAGTTTGTTCCCATGTTTGGTAGACACATCCTTTAGCAGTTTCAAAAAAAAAAAAAAAGGAGAAAGGGAATTAAAGTATTTTGAAATTTTGCAAGTCTGAAAATATTTTTTTCTACTGTCACATGTATTGATAGTTTGGACTTCTAGGCTAGAAATTTTTCTTCTCTCAGATTTTTGAAAATATTTCTTCATTGATTTTTAGTTTTCCAGTTTACTACTGGAAAGACTGATGCTGTAATGATTCCCAAAGCTTTTTTAAATGATTCTTTTAAACTTCTCTGGGAGCTTTTTAGGATGTTTTATTTGTTCCCAATGTTATGAAATTTTACGCTGCCATATTGTATGTGTGCATGTGTGTGTGTGTGTTTCATATTATATTGGGCACTGGATGGATTCATTCAACCCCTAAGTTCATTTTTCACTTTCCTCATCTGTGTAATTGAGAAATAATATACCTGTTTCCTTTTATGACATTCTATTTTTGTTCCATAAATGCAATGACCTCTATTTTTCTCTGAAGATATTAATAAAAAATAATAATAGTTTTTTTTCCTGTGTTTTGCATTATCTTTGTTTTCTGCAAGTTCTGTTTTATAATGTTTATTTGTTTTGGTCTCATTAGAGAATCTTCTTGGCTGTCCATTCATATCTGAAGGTGAAATATTATTAGGTGATTGGAAGCTCTGTGCAGGTGTGCTTGATTTATTGAGTGATAGACTTCACTGTAGGATGAGTTACTGGGCTGTTTTAATTGGTGTTCTTCTCAATATCAGTATATATGTTTTTCTCCTGGAATAGTTAATTTCTCCAAACCATTGTTCCAATCACTTGGCGGGTTAAAATCTGCTGGCCATCTCTTGAAGTCAAATTAGGGAACTGAACTGGGCGGGGGCAGGGGTCCTGTATTCACTATGTAGAATTTTATTTAATTGCCCTCTTTTAATGCCTGGTTCCCTCAAACTGAGCCAGCTATCCATGAGTTCCGAGCATGTTCTAGTACAATCTTTCTGGAGAGTAAACCTGCATTGTTCTGCTAGGATGGACCAGGGCAGCTCCTAACTTTGTTATCCATGGAAATCTGACTGCTTCCATCCAGTGCTTCTATTTTCAGCTTCAACTGCTACCACCTCTGTTCATTGTTTTCAGAGCTGTTTGTCCCCTGAGTCTTGAATCTTACTGAAATGCTGTGATGTGCATTACTCAGCTTCTGGGCTTCTCCTCTTGTTGGCTTTCTTAGATGCAGTTTTCCTCTTTCTCTGGTCTGTTAAGTTAGTTAGCAGTCATTCTGCTGGGTTTCTAGTTTCAAACATTTTCTGCATTCCTATCCCATTTTTTCGACCTTCTTTGTTTAAGCCTTTTAAATTTTAAAAACTTTTTTACTGTGAGAAGCAGTATATTGGTTAAAAACGTTGGACTCTGGGACCAGCCTGCCCAGATCTACCTCTTGTATGACCTTGGAAAAGTTACTTAATCTCTCTCTGCCTTATTTTCCTAATCTTAAAAAAATAGTAGTTAGAGTACTATTTAGGATTAAATCATTTAAGACATGTAAAGCACTCAAAACCATAGCTGGCTTAATAGTCATTATTTTAGAGTGGTTTCTGGTAATAGATAAAGGCTTGTGTTCAATTAACCATGTTTAATTGAAAATCCAAAGAAATTCACTTAAAAAGATGAATCACTTGGCAAATATTGTTCATTTTTATCTAACGATGGAAGCAAAGTATAAATATAGTATCTGATATGCTACATAAAATGCTTAGGTTTTTACATTATTTTATTACTGAAAAGAACCTTGGAGATCATGATTTCCAACTCTTTATTTTACAGATGAGAAAAACTGAGACCCAGAGAGTTAAGTGACTTGCCTTGAGACTAGAATCCAAGCCTCAGAATTCCTGGTTCATTCTTCTTTCCATTAAATCATATTTCCTTTTCTAAGGAACAGTGAATACTGTGAGACTTGCAGATTTATTTTTGGTGATGATGCTATTCTGTACCTAATTTTCTTTTTTCTATTTTTTTTTTAACCCCAAGTGCTCAGAACTGGAGTAATAATAAGCTTTGGTTTATAACACACCCTCATCATTGGTCCATGTGTAGTCTATTTGTTTGTTTTAATAATGTAATACATAAAAATTAAAACATCCATGTTGTGTGCAATCCCTGAGAGGGAGATTTAAATGTATAATTTCCATGTATTTATTTTGGTGAAATAAACAACAAGATCCTACTGTATAGCACAGGGAACTATATTCAGTATCCTGAAATAAACCATAATGGAAAGAAAGGAAAAAGAAATTAAGTGAAAATCAAGAGCTTTGCCAAAAATATGTTCTCATACTTAACTATTAAAAAAAAAAAGCATTTTGGTGTTACAGCTATTTGTTGTTTCTTTTCTGAGTCAAAGGTCACCTTATAGATGGGTGGTTTTGCAACTCTGTACCTTATCCCATTGAAATTCACCAGACTGGGGTAGTAGTGGATTAGAAAGGAAAACAAAGCAAGACGGAGAGGAACAGGAAAAGGACCAGGAATATGAGTGCTTTGCAATGAGCACTGAGACATACATGTCTCCAGAATTTGTTAGTCTTCTACAAATTGTATAATGGGTTTGTTTGTAATGCAGGCCTAAGAACCATTGGAGTCATCACCAAACTGGATCTTATGGATGAAGGAACGGATGCCAGGGATGTTCTAGAGAACAAGCTGCTACCGCTTCGCAGGGGTAATGTACTGTGTCCTACACAGGACTTCCTTTGATGCGGAGAGAAACAGCTGGGAGACTAATGGGAGGCTGGGTTTTAGTGCCTCCACAGTGGTGAGGAGTAGATTTATAATTAGTTATACATTTTATGGATTGTTGTTACCAAATGGTGTATTAAAAATGATCCAAAGGGAGAACTATTCCTTAAAATAATAGGAATGGGAAAACAGAAAAAGAAAGGGATTTGAAGGGAAGGTCTAAATATTCATCATACAGGGCATAAATGAATATTGCTTTGTCTTAAGTCTGGCTTATTTACTTGCCTGCTATATGACAAGAATACTAAGAGATACACTCTATTTAACTGCACAGCTGTTTTAAGGGGAAAAGACATTATTTTGTTAAAATGAAAAAAAAAAACAGCATTAGCCAGATCAGCAAGCCTTTGTTAAATACTAATATCTAAAATTGAGTTTTGTAATGAGATTCATTCTTGAGACTGTAAAATAATTTTGCTTTTCTTACTTAGCTTCTTTGAGAGCTTTAAAATGTCCCCAGAACAAGAAACCCAAAGTGTCCCAAGCTCCATAGGTGTGTGTTTTACTTTAGGTTACGTGGGAGTGGTAAACAGAAGCCAGAAGGACATAGAGGGGAAGAAAGATATAAAGGCTGCCATGTTGGCAGAAAGGAAGTTTTTCCTCTCACACCCGGCGTACAGACACATTGCTGATCGGATGGGGACCCCACACCTGCAGAAGGTCCTTAATCAGGTAAAAATATTTTTTTCAAGCAACAAGAACAATTATAAGATATGTAAATGATTATTTGAATTCATAGTTCTTATTTTTATACTCATTTTTTCTAAAATAAGACATTAGCTTAAACGATAGAAATTAAAAGGATGAACATGACTACTTAGATCCACACTATTACTATTCTAAGTAACCAGAATCCACCTTATTATTATTGAAAAAACAGTGTGCAAGGCAGAAATACACATTTATTTAGGAACAATGAACAGGGGTATACTTTTTAGGACACATTTACTCAACATGTAGTTATCATAAGAAATTAAACTTGTGTATCTGAGAAGCTGGTCTCTGGGGATCTGTTTTTGAAATATCAATTTGTAATGGTTAGATTAGATTTTTTGTTAAACTTTCTGTATGGTTTTGTGTAGGATTGATTTGTCCTTAATTTGCAACCTTAAAAATAAGTCCTCAGAAGCAATCATTGATCTTAACTCATCTAATAAAGAAGCTTTACCAGATATGATCTCTTTCCCAATAGCAGACAGACCCGGGCTCTCTGCCTCCCCTCATTCCATGCACGTACACATTTCTTCCAGAAAACTTCAGTACTATTCTTACATGGTCCTATATTTTTCTGCTCCTAATGGAGTTAAATGTCATTGTCATTGCATGAGGGCCCCCAGCCTGAGTCAAACGGTGAGCAGCTTTTCTCACAAAAAGTACACTTTAGCTTGGATCTACAAACTTAGTCAAGCAGTTATGGAATATTCTGGTTGTTTGCTCCTAGTAAAGGCTAACACAGTAGTAGACTGCTTGTCACATTATACCCGAACCAGTGAGGCAAAATAATCAAAGTTTTAAAAAATGAATATCTATTTCAAGTGACATAACACAGAGTAATGAAAAATTTGTACTTTTAAATTGAGGGTAAATGAGTATTTGGAAGCCAAGAAGCAATGATATGGTTGTGTCATTTAAAAAGTCTGAACATATTTTAGAGAAGAAACACTAGTTTGTCATGCAAGAATCATGATATTCTATCACTATATTTATCACTGGTAAAACTCTTTTTAAGTTTAGTGCTTTCATGACTGTATAGGCCTAAGAAAAATACAAATAAAGTGAAAAAAAAGCCTTAGGGAAGAATCACTAAAATGATTAGGAAGATAAAATTAGAAATAAATTAGGTTGTGAATACTGGGAAAGTAGAAAGGATATGATTGGCCATTTGGTTACTACAGGTGACCCCTAAATTATGACATAACTGGATTCTGGCTGACTGAAAATTGATAAATGTTTTACTGACTGTCTTTCATTTCCTGGATAATCACTTTCTCTTTATTGCTTTAAGGGTCTTCACAGTGTGTTTGAAATTAGAATAATTTTATTGCTGATTTAATGTGCACCAACACCTCTGACCCTGAGGCACTGTTACTATGGCAAAAGCTGGAAAAACTTGACATTTTTGAGGAATTGAAAGCAATGTCCTTATGGCTGGAGGGCAGAGAATGAGGGAATGAGCCGTAAGAGAAAAGTTTGGAGATACAGGCTGTGGCTGGATCCTGTAGTGTTTGTAGGCCAAATTAAGGATTTTGGCTCTTATCCTAAGAGCAGTGAGGGGGCCAGTCATTTAAAGAGTCTCAGTAGGGAAATAACACAGTCATATCTGTGGATTAAAAAAGATGATGGTGGTTGCAGATAGGAATATCAAGAGTAGATGTGAGAAAACCACTCAGGAATCAAAATGAGAACTGATGGTTGCTTGGTCTAGATTAGCACCGGTGGAGATGAAGAAAAGCAAATTTCAGAAACCTTTAGGAACATTAAGAACTTGGTGGTAGATTAGCTTCAGTCGATGATGGGGAGATGAAGTCAAGAATAACTCCCAGTTTCCCGGATTGTTATGAAGTCAGAAAGAAGGAGAACCCAGAAGGGAATATGAGGTACTTAATTTCAGACATGCAGAGGGTGAGGTGTTATTGACGCTTCTAAGAGGAGAAGTCAGGCAGGTGGTCTAGTACATACACCCGCAGCAAAGGTAACAGGTCAGCAGATAGCCACAGGTGTTCAAATATTCATTGAAACCAGGATGGAATAAGACTATCTTATAAAAGAACATATAGTGAGCAGAGGAGAGACGTGGGACTCAGATTAGAGGAATATCAGTATTTACAGGCCTGGTGGAGGAGGACAGCTTGGCAAAGGAGATGGAGAAGGCTACATTCAGAAAGGTTAGGAGAAAAGTGAGAGCAGCTGGCGGTCATGAAAACCAAGGAAAGAAGTGTTTTATAAGGCCAAGAGTGGTCCACAGTTCTGCTTTGCTATTGAGATATTTGAGACACAACTGATGGAAACGAAGTATTTTGGTTATTGATCACTCACAAGGCAGTCAGGTGGCTACTGGTTTCTCGTAGTTTCTGTTACTCATGTTTGGGGGTTTGTGTCTTGTGACATTTTTTCTTAGAAGGCAGTCTTCTCCATTCTTTTGTTTTCTGCTTCAGAGCCGTAATAACAACACATGCCAGGCAAATAACATAGTAAGTCATAACTGTGGGTGAGGATGTAATATAGGTATGAACTATTGACAATGAAATAACTCTAGATTTATTGAATAAATATATTCAGATAACCTCAGATGAACATAAAAACAAAAAGAGTTTCTTCAGTCAGTCTGGGTGTGTTTATTCCTCTTATTTTTAATTTATTCTTTTTCCTGCTTTTCTATGAAATTTATATTCTCTTTCTCTTGATTCCATGTTTATTCCTTAAGCAAGTCAAGAAGGTTATCTTTTTTTTCCTTTTAATCCAGACTTTTTCTTAATTGCATTGTAATAGAAAGGGCATCAGGTAGACAGCTAACCATTCTGGGTTTATATCCCACCTTTGTTCATAATTAATCGTGTGCTCTTAGATAATATCTTAGAGAATTTTTTATCAGACCGAGCTTGATGTGTCCAGCGGATGATCTCGGTGGAAATGCCAAGCAGATGGTTAGGTAGAGATACCAACAGCAGAGAGAGCTTTTCCTTGCTAGGCATGGGGCTTTTTATGTGGCACCTGTTGAAAGCGTAAGCCAGTGACTAACCACAGTTGGCCTGGGGGCCTAAGGGTGGAGGCAGGAGGAGACTCTTGCCTGAGCTACAGAATGGAGGGGACATTGACAGCTGACAAGTACCTCTCTGAGTGCCACCATTTGGTCCTGAGAACTCAGGCAGCACCTGTAATTCTCCACTTGCTTCATTTGTGCCATGTGCTAATTCCTTTGACAAGGCAGCTGATGGGATAAATCAATCCAGCTAAGGTGTTATTGGCAGCTTCATTACTAAAATTAGGTGCCTTTTAACAGGATATCCCAGACATAAAGAAATAGCCCAAGCGAATGATTCTAACGGAAGGAATTTTGAGCTTCACCATAGGGCAGTAGAGGAGAGGGTTGGGGCTTCTTTTGACTATCTGCCTACATAGTCAGTCTCAAATGTGTGTATGACTTCTAAGGTTTTGAATGATTAGGAAAACTGTGAAGGCCAATTTTTGTCTCCTGGGGTTATCTCCAGTCTGTTACATGCATGTATTTTTTTTCTTTTTATAGCAACTTACCAACCACATTCGAGATACCCTGCCCAACTTCAGGAACAAACTTCAGGGACAGTTGCTGTCCATAGAACACGAAGTAGAAGCCTACAAAAACTTCAAGCCAGAAGACCCCACCAGGAAGACCAAAGCATTGCTGCAGTGAGTCACCTTTCCCAGCCCTTGCTCAGCATTTTTGACTAATTTGCTTTTTCCTTAGTCTGTTTGTCATGGTGTTTTTTTAGGTTTCATAGAAGCAGCAAGTGAAGTGTATGAGGCTTTGTATATGTTATACAGTGAGCCTTGAGTCGTTGTTTTCTTAGAATAATTGTTGATCTTAACTCCGTTTTTACAGACTTAACCAATTGCCCATCCCGATGCCCAATTTCATTGTGTTTTTATGATTAGATCCAGAAAATGAGCAAAACCAATAGTGATAACTCAGCAGGGCTTTTTGCCCTTTGTCTTTAGATGTGGGCTGAGCTCCTGTTGGAAATGTCATCTGTGTTGTACAGCTGTTTCTACTGGTGTCCCTTGTACTTATTATCTTTTTGTTTCATTCATTTCATGTCTTCCGCCTGTGAGAAGATTTCAGTGCAGTGAGAACCAAGGATTTAATTTTAAAAGTACTGGCAATCAGAGCACATCTAAATTTCCTTTTCCTTTTTGGTAATGATTTTAACGTAGCCGTTTGAGAACACGAATATGAAAACTGCCAAGTATCTTTTCACTCCTTCATGATCTTCTCTTCTATCCTTGGGTGACTAGATTTATCCCTGAGGGGTCTTGGGTTGGGATAGCAGAGTTGTTGGAGAATTGCCAGCCCCCTGTGTCTTTTACCTTCATTTCTTCCTCAGCCCCTCAGCTTCATCTCTCCTTTTATCCCTGTGCTGCAACTTGCCTCAGGTCCCTCCACACCAGAAGACCCCTGCTGACCAGCTTACATTCCAGGACATCTGAAGTCCATCCCTAAATATGCTGCTTGCTGCTTCTTCTGGCCCCTTTGTCCCTCTGCAGTCTTGTAATCAAAATCCCCTTAATCTGGCGTTTGAAATGCACAACATAATTCTTTTTCTTTATGGGGAGATTTCTAAATGTTCACATTATTTAAATAACATATTAAGTGCATCATCTTATATTCCTCCATTTTTAAGAAGTGTAAGATCATATGGAGGAAAGAAAAAAAATTGGATTCAACTCTTTCCTAATTTATCTTTTCTCTTTTTTCTTGGCTTTGGTGAGGCTCCGATAAAAACTCTCCAAGTTACAGAGAAAGGAAGCTATTTCTGTTTAGGCCCTCAATCATCGTCTCACCCTCCAACTGAAACTATTCTCTTTGCAAAGACTGGGTCTTGCCTCTGTGACTTATTGGACTCAGATTTCACAAGTTTCCACAGCTAGATTCTTCCCTTGTACGGGGCTGATGCAGTTCCTTCTTTCCTTTCTTCCTTTTTTCCTTCCTTCCTCCTTGCCTTGCTCTCATCTCTGTGTATTCTACTGATGTCTGGCTCTGTGCTGTCTACTGAGGATTCAACAGTGAATAAGATTTTTACCCTGAAGAAGAGGCTACAGTAGAGCAGGGGAAACAGACATATTAGCAACTAACTGTGTTAAAATCTGATAAATGCTACATTTCTGGTAAGTATAAAATGTTAAGGAAGCCCAGGTGAAAAGCAGTTACATGCGAGGAAAGGTGTGAGTTCACAGAGGAAAAAGATACTTGAATGAGAGCCTGAAGTATGGGAGGAGTGTGTCAGGTGGAAGGAGGAAGTCAAGTGAATTGTGTGAACTTTCATGTGGGTCAGCAGGCTGGGGTGTAGGATATGGGGGAAGGGCTGGCTGGAGGTCAGTTTCCCAATGTTTCATACCTTTCTAGGTGTTGAAAAACTAGGTTAACATTAGCATATGAATGAACATAGCTACATCTGATTATATTCTAGATTTCCTAGCTTTGATAATTGCGGTTACTTTTTTTTAACATTTTTTATTGATTTATAATCATTTTACAATGTTGCGTCAAAGTCCAGTGTCACAATTTTTCAGTTATACATGAACATATATATATTCATTGTCACATTTTTTTCTCTGTGAGCGTGGTTACTTTTAATTCATCCATGATTTTGATGAAAGAATAAAAGATACAAATTTTCTATAGTTTGAATTTTTTCCTGCTAGATTTTGAATTTGAAAGTAGTTCCTGTGTGTCAAAATTAGAGTTTCTAAACCTAGTAATCACAAATACAGGTAGTCATTTTCTCCCTGTAATGTATTTCTTTGTTTTTTTACCAACTGCCTCGAGGTAATTCATTCCTTCATTGATCTTACCTCTCATATGCTGAACAGGGGGAAATAAATAAAATCATGGTGTTTGCCCTTAGGAGAGAGATTAACAGATGAATAGTGGCAATGTATTCTTCTAAGTGCAATGCTGAAAATAAGTTGAGGAAGTCAAGGAGGGGCCCTTCGTGTGGGTGGCAGTGAGTGGTGATTGGGGCGTAGGGCCATGGATCATGGAATGTTTCCTGGAAAAACTAATGCTTGAACTGAGTCTTGCAAGACAGATAAAAATTAGCCAGACAGAGAAGCACAAGGCAGAGCAGAAAGGAAAACAGGTGTAAAAGCACAGAGCCTTGGACATATGGGAAACTGCAAATGGCTTCTTTGTGATTGGCTTAGAAGGTGAGTGTGGATGAGTAGTAAGAGATGGGGCATCCCGGGTCCGGGCGCAAAGAGTTGTAGGTGATGGGGAAGGAGTTTTAATTTTACTATCAAATTCTTGGGAGTCATTGAAAAACAAGGCTAGAGCTAGTTGTAGAGGGGCAGGGGGCGAGCGTCACAAATTTGCATGGTTCTGACATAGTGAGTTGGTCTGTGATGTTAGGGCTAGGAAGAGAGTAGCTTCTGAAGTATGAAGGGCCTCGGCTGGAGCAGTTGGAGCACTAGGAGATTGTGATGTCACAGGAGTCATGGCTCCATGACTATTATATAGTTTTATGCTTAATTTTAATTCTTAATTTTAAAAAATACCATTTTATGGTTGCAACTAAATGGACAGAATGCATTTAATAATTAATGCATTTAAAAGATATTTTTATAATTAAAAATGTCTACAATAAATCTTAATAACGTGTGTTTCATATGGTTACAGTTTAAGGGTGGAATAGAGTGCAGTGTTAATTCTGCCAGTAGGTGCCACTAAGAACACCAGGAAAAGAATTCTAGGGGATGACCGTAGCAGATTAAAATGAAAATGCAACGCCTTGTAACTTTAACTTGAATTTATTTCTCTTTCACAATTATAGGATGGTTCAGCAATTTGCTGTGGATTTTGAGAAGAGAATCGAAGGGTCAGGGGATCAAGTAGATACCCTGGAGCTCTCAGGGGGTGCTAAAATTAACCGTATTTTCCATGAACGCTTTCCTTTTGAGATAGTAAAGGTTTGTACCAAATGTTAACTTTTTTCTCTTTTGTTTCATTTCATTTCCATATTCTGTTCTACATACTTGTTCATAAAATGTTACGTGAGTGATATAGGACTAAGATTATTCTTTAAACAAAAGCCTCCATGCTCAGGTAATGAAATATAGGGGAGAAACATTTTCTTACTCATGGTTCTGATTTTTTAATTGTTTAATGAGATCTAATGACATTTCGATAATTCATCAACTACTAATTGATTCCTGTGGCATTTATTTGTATATTTAATTTAAAAATATTTCTTGTGTACCTACTCTGTACCAGTGATCTCAGTACCAGGGATCAAGACACAGACACTGTCTGGTGGGAAAAGACAGAACACTAACAAACAGAGTAAGAAAATATCAAGTGTTCTTACATAATATGATATGAGAGGGGAGTTGGGTAAGCCACTTTGGATGGAAGGTTCAGGCAAGGTCTCTCTGAGTATGGGATCCTTTAAAGCGTGACCAGAGTGGCGTGAAGAGGTCAGCTGTAAGGATCTGGAGGAAGCAGGGTGTTCAAGGCAAACAGCCAAGGACAGGGCCCTAAAGCACGCACCTGGACCACAGGAGAGGCACAGCGAGGCTGGTGCAGAACTGATGAAGGGGAGGGGATATAAAACAAATTTGGTGGAAGGAATTGCCCAGCTTATGTAGGGCTTTCTAGGTTGCCGTGAGTTGTTTACATTTAACAATGGGAAGTCATTGGAGAGTTTTAAGAAAAGGTGTGACCTGATTTGGTTGGTGCTTTTAAAAGAAAACTATGTGGGCTGGACTGAGGGAGCCAAGTAAGGTGCGTTTGAACAGCAGGGCCAGAGCAGTGTGGGGGACTCATTCTCTGTGGGGCCTGAATCTTAGACAATTTTGAAGGCCCCCTTAAAGAAGAAGAATACAAAATGATAAACACACAGTTAGGCACAGGGTCTTGTAAGGAGCTTATGCAAGGAAGAAACCCTGGACTTAAACTTCTTTAGCTTCATGGTAAAAAATGCCTCAGAACAGAGGCTTGAGAAAAGTGGCTAGATTTGTGATTTTGGAGGTAGAATCAGCAGGGGTTGGACTGATATGGGAGATGCAAGGAAGAGAAGATTCAAGATGACTCCCCAGATTTTGGCTTGTACAGCTGAGCAAATGTTGGTGCTCATCAGACAAGGGGAGCTGAGGAAAAGCACAGTGTGGAGGTACGAATCAGAAGTTTTATTTCAGTCTGTTAAGTTTGAAATATCAGTAGGCAATAGGTAGTTTTAGGGATGGGGCTATTTGCCTCACACACAGAGGCGGGTGTGTATGTCTTGTTGTGGGAGGCAGATGGGTAAATACATAGTTTCATTAAAATGTGTGAAGGAAAGTGATAAACTTCAGTACAGGATGCTATGGAAACGCAGCCCACAGCTGTGAGTCCCAGCCTGAGTGTGTGAGAGAGCCCGGCTTCCGAGCTGAGTTTAGAAGGATGAGCAGCTTGTTAAACAGGAAAAGGTAGGGTCGGATTGGGGAGAGATTGTTCCAGACGTAAAGGAAGGCATGGTAAAGGCTAAGCTGTGGTGCCACAGGATGTGGGTAGGGAACCAAAGCAATTTGTTCTTCTATGGCATGAAGTGTAAGAGGGGAAAATGGACAGACAATGAGGCTGGAGAGCTCAGAAGTCAGGGACTGAACCAAATGTTCTCTTGCTATGCCTTCTGGGTCTAAGCTCTTTGACACTTTGATCTTACTTCCAAATAAATTTAAGGTACCCAGAACATCTGGGAAATTTTTGTACAGCAACAACCTATCCTGTGTTGGACTGGCAAAATATTATTAATTTCCTCTTATACAGAGGCTTTGAACTCAGGTCGTTAAAATGGCTGGGGAGAAAAGACAGCCATTGTTAATCTTAGCATAGCTGGACCCCTGTTGTACATCAGGTGACACCCTTATTTATGCATTCATCTGTGGATTCATTTACTACATTCAGCAAAAGAATGAAGAATTATATATTTCAAATGAATGGCCAGATTTATGTCCAGAAGGCATCCTTTTTGCATAGCGCTCCTTATCTATAATAGAGTTAAAATCCTCTGCACTAAAACTCCCAGAAATCCCTAATGTTCTGTGTTGCCTTGAACTTTTATATACACAGATGTTTTGACCATCTGGGTTTAGGTTAGGAAAGACAGGAGTATTCATTTATTAATAACGAAGTCAAATTATTCTCATTCTTTAATATTCAATGATATTCTTAGCCAAAGGAATTAACTGTCATGACTGTGGCTCATTTTGCATCTGCAGATGGAGTTCAATGAGAAAGAATTGCGAAGAGAAATAAGCTATGCAATCAAAAACATACATGGTATCAGGCAAGTGCTTCACATTTTCCACATGTTCAGTTTAAGCTACTAAAAAAATAATGTTTATAAATGACTAGTGAAGTAGCCTTTTCATCAACTGGGCAGAGTGGAATATAGAGGTGGGAGTAAGAAATGGGAAATCCTTGTTTGGGTTCAATGGTAAATCTCTTGTATTGTCATACTCAGTCTTTTTCAATTAAAAAAAAAGAAACAACAAAAACCCCTTTCTACACTCACAGCACTGTGCTCTGAACAATCGGGGATTTACTGATGACCACAACCTTGCTCTCCAGGAATGTACATTTCAGAGACGGAGGCCAGACGTGCTCATAAGTAATCGTTACTTACAGAGAGACAGGGCAGATTAATTCTGCCTGGGGTTGTGGAGCAAGATTGGGAAAGATTAATGAAAGTGGTTACTTTAGAGTTGAATCTTGCCTGTACTGAGAAGAATGATTTCAACAAGCAAAGGTGTCTGCATGTGTACACGTGCTTTTGTGTGTGTGTGTGTGTGTGTGTAGTGGGGCAGGCAGCTGTGCAATGAGATAGGAGAGGATGAAGAGTGTTGAGGCTGCAGGAGAAAAGAAGGGGAGGGAGTAGCATGCACAAAGGCATAGAGGTGGGGAAGAGCAGCGAGTACTCGTGGAGCAGAGAGCTGTGCGTTGGGAATGGAGACAAGGAAGTGGAGGGACGTGAGGCTGGGAGGAGAACTTGTGCCTGAACACACCCTTGTTTAAAGTGGAATTGTTCTTGTTTATTACTTTCTTTAAAGAATTGTGATAAGAAAATAAATGAATTTAAAACACACATTTCTTGGGTTCATGTGCAGAAGGCTACACACAATGTAGCGGAGCATGTGTTAAATTGAGGTGCCCTGGATCTGAGGTAGGAAAACTTAGGTTGTCTACTTCATAGACGATCTCATGTGAAGGAGACATCCTGTCTATTGGCCAGTTGTATCTCAGCTTCTACTGCAGGGCCAGCCTGAGACTATTTTGGAGGGAACAGAGGCTGAGAGAGCAAAACTTGACACTGAGTGTACATGTGATGGGTCATTTTCCAAAGGAGTTATGACATTTAAATTATCCATCCTTTTAAACTTTACATAATCTGCTCTACAAGTCTCAAATACTATGGATAAATACGTATTCACAAAGTGACAAAGAGAAAACATCTCGAACCACATCCAATTTTTTTTTTCTTACCATCAACAGGATTACTCAATTCTCCATTAATTCTATTCCCTCTCCCTTAAAACCAGAATATTTTTGATAGAAAAACTATGTCTTGCTCTTTAGATGGGCAGAGCTAGTATTCAAACATGTCAATTTGATAAATGCAGTGAAACCAAATCACATTTCTTGGGAGGGGATTGGTCATAAAGTATTTTTACTTAGCCAAATATAGTACTTTTACCTGGCTTTTAAAACTCCTTGCCAGATAAATTTTTGGTGAATGTAACTGCAAAAGCCAAAAGTAATTCAGTATTGCGGATTTCTGATTTATGTGCACACCAGCAGGAGGGATTGGTTGGTACTTTTATTCTGGAGTTAATTTGCCTATAAAATGATAAGAAGTGCACAGTGTCCTGAGTATAAGACATATTCATACTATGATGATTTAGGCCTTTAAATACACATAATTTGAAAAGCTTTTTTCCCAGTTGATTCTGTTAGATATTTGAATAATAGAAACCATCTTTACTTACTGAGGACCTGATGGTCCTTCTTTGTTCTGCTGACACTGTGTACTGATGACGTGCAAGGAATCCCTCCTTGTGGGGCAAACAAAGATAAATGCATAATGACTCTGTCTGCCTGCGCAGGAATGGAATTAAGTAAGAGCTCGGATCACTGCAGTGCAAAATAGGATGTTGGGGCTCAGAGAAGGAAGACCTCGCCAGCAGGACTGGAGAAGGCGAGCTGTAGGAAATGGTGGTTTTCGATCTGGTCTTTGAAGCACAGGTGGGATTTGGACAGGCTGAAATTGTAGGAAAGCTGAAATGAACATCATAGATGAAGGCAGAGACATAGACTATTAATATGCATATGTTTGTGGAAAGGCAAACGGTCGGGTGCATGAAATGGAGGAGGAAGATAACTACAAAGGAAGATTAAGGTCAGACGGGAAATTCTTTAATGTCAGACTAAACTGTGGATTTTATTCTGTATCCAATGCGGAGAAATTACCATAGAGTATGATTGCTACAGTACGATTAGAAATAGAGGTGAGCACAGGGTGCTAAGTAAATAACAAGGGGCATAGAACAAAGCCGTCATAAGGGAAGTGTTAAAGACATGTCTGAAAAGTGGGACCATAAAACTGAGTGTTGAACAAAGAGAAGTTCATCACAGAAGGGGAGGTGAGAAGAAGCAGGGAGGAGGGTGTAGGATGGGGAGGGGCACTTGCCAGTGCTGCAGCCTCTGGGCACATCTCTGGGCACAGCGAATGGCAGGGTCAGGGCGCTCTTATTGTAGCTCTTCTCCACTGGCCTTTTGTTTAAGTGTGAACACACACACACAGACACACACACGCACACACACACACACACACACACACACCTGCTTTCCTGAGCTCCATTATGACACCAAATTGAATTAGTTCTAGCCCAATGAAAAGCTACTTGCCATTTGGGTTATCACTTGTTATTTTTGTAAATTCACAATTGAGGCATCCTAGGCCCAAGCTAGTTCCACTCAACTGCCTTCTTTTTCCTCCAGGACCTCAAACTTGGAACCAGTGAGCTCACTGTAATACAACCCTCTTGGAAAGAATAGATTGTGTAGTCCAGGAACACTGCTATTTCAGGGTTCAAAAAGTGAGGCTCATTTCCTACTCCAAGAAGGACAAGAGAGGATTGCTTTTGGAATACTTGAGAAATATACATGAAATTTGGAGTGCCATTTCTACCATACCATTCCCTTTTTATTGCTTTGAAACAGTGAGCTGAGAAAAATGACAGTTAGATATTAGTTAAGGTCACATTATAGGCCTTAAACATTTGGGGAGCTGTTTTTAGGTCATGTTAATCATCTATAGAAGTGTATTAAAGATATTATAACCAATGATACTGTGGATAGAATAAATCATTGTGTAACTTTTAAACTAGGGTGTTACATGCTTTCTTTAAGTAGCATGTTGATTAAAATATTTTTCAAAAGAGTATTCAGTAATCATTCGATTTAAAACATCTAATGTGCTGCTTTTTTCTTATATCCAGAACAGGGTTGTTTACTCCAGACATGGCATTCGAAGCAATAGTGAAAAAACAAATTGTAAAGCTGAAAGGGCCTTCCTTGAAGAGCGTAGATCTGGTGATACAAGAATTAATCAACACTGTCAAGAAGTGCACCAAGAAAGTAAGTTTGAATTATATAACTTCCCAACCAGTCACTACGTGGTTTACCCATCTTCCCTGCCCTCTACATGCCTTTTCTTACTTGCCCCTCAACTTTGTTGTAGAAGATTGTGTTTGCTCAAGGGGAAGGACTCTGAGAAGTACTGAGTGGGAATTGCTTTCAGTGATAGAGGGGCATATTGACTGCCGTCACTCCATTGCACCATCACCCTGTTGCAAATAGGGTTGCTTAAACCAGAAAGCGTCTAGAGTATGTTTTAATCAGCTAATTTTCTCCTTGTTGTCTTAATCAGGTAAACATCACTGTAGAACAATTAGGTGAATGCCCTAAACCAGTTTTTCCTGTGGTGCATGGATGGGAGTAGTTTTTACAAGAAGGGAATCATTGATATTATATGCATCAAAAAGAAAATTCATCTAAATTTTAAAACAATTCCACTTGTACCTGGACATTCTGGGACGGGGCAGTGTGGTGTGTAGTTCAGGGCCCAGCCTCTGAGGTCTGGTTATCTGGATTCAAATCCTGGCTCTGCTACTTACTTGCTGTGTGACCTTGAGCATCATACTTAATTCTTTAAGTCTTGTTAATTTTTCTGTGAAATGGGGATGGTAATAGTAATAGTAATAGTAGTAGTAGTAGTAGTAGTAGTAATAGTAATAATAATACCACCACCCCATTGAGGATTAAACAAGATGATGCCTGAAACCCATGGGGCACTTAACACATTGATTAACCATAGTAAGTGCTCAGTAAATGGTGGCTAATCTATAAATGGTCATTTTCTTAGCACCCAGTATTTTTCACCTTGTAGTATTTATTGAATCTGTGAAGGTGACTGGTGGGGGAGAGACTTCCCAATCGGGAGGCACTTCACTGAGGAACATGGAGGAATTGTACTGGCTTCCATCCATTCCTCAGGGGCACGAAAGGGGTACCCTGCATTGGAAAATGTAAGAAGGGAATTGGTGATGATGTGAGGGTAGGGTAGGCCTGTCCCTCTGACAGTTAAGATTGTTCCTTTGATCATCTTTTGCATAGAGACTTCCAATTTTGTTAGTTGTGTTAGCCTTCTGTTTCTGTGTGGTTATTATGAGCTACTTTTCCTAAAAAACCAGTGAGAAGAGAGAGAGAGAATGAGAGACAGAGAACGTAAGTGAGTATGAACACTGGTTCCCAGTAACCTGGCTGAAAACTCAGGGGAAGAAGAAAAGGTGTAAGTGGTGGAGGAGGAAAGCAGGCTAAATTCCTAGATGTCAATGACTTTAAAAAAAAAAAGTTAAGTGAAACAGGCTTGGGGCCCGGAAGTGGCTCTGGAGCTTCAAAGACCTCTAGCCCTTGTACTGTTCTTCCACCTTGTTCATTAAAGTCCTGTGTTCTCTTCTCTAAAATGGGAAAAGCCTTAGGCGTTAAGGGAATGAGGAGAGGGAAAAGAATGCACGTGGGGAAGGAAGAAAAGCAGTCTTTATGCCAGCTTTTCATTTGGAAACTTGAAACCATTTAATAATACTTCACATCCCCACTGTCCTGGCCTGTCCCTCAAAATGCAGTCAGTCTTGTCACCTGTGAAGTATTGGCCCCCTCTTAACTGACGTGCAGAGTTAACTGATACTGCATTCTCTGTTAATCACATGGATTGCCACCCTCAGCATGCAGGTGTCTCCCTCAGCCAAAAGCTGTTTGCTAGGCTGCAAACCAGTTAAGCTGTCTTTTTTTTTCCCCCAATGGCCAGTTATGTTGTGTTTGTCCTCAAACGTGATTAGCCTGTTATACTTCTTATTTTAGTTTTGTAGTTTAAATCAAGAGTAAATAAATTGATCAACCGCGGAAAAGCCTTTGAATTTTGTTTCCATAAAAACTCAGCTTTGGAATGACTTGATAAAGGTTAGCTGCAAAAGCTTTGCGTTCACTAGGTGTAGGTAGGATGAGGCTGAAAGACGAGGGGGAAGTTATAAAACCTAGCTGGGCTCTACACTCAGATTAGTTCTGAAGTATCTTCAGGTTTCTCCTCTACTTTAAAGAAAGCAAAACTGGAAATCATAGATGTAGGATGTGGTTTCTGTAAGACAGAAGATGCATAACTCCAATCAGCAGATCCATATGCAGAGAACAGGCCTTGGCCTTACATCAAAAGATTGGCACATGTGTATACATTTATGTTTTAAGTTATATAAAGTGTTTATGGTATGTATGAATCATTTAAAAAAATAATTTCCCATTGTATCCAACTTACTGGAAAACCAACAGTCGGTCTCGATGGCATGGGGTGAGACAGCTTGTTCCCGGACACTTCTTGGCTTTTATTCTTTGCTCTCCACCCTTTGAACCTCCCTTTCCATTAAGCTCTCAAGATCAATGGTGGTTGTATATTTGGACTGTCTCCTCAAAATATTTTATGTGTTGCCTTAAATAAAACCTAGTCTTCTCCCTGAAATTAGTGTTTACCCTTCAGATCTCTTCACTGAAGTATATTTATTGGCCAAAACTCAAAGAGTCTAAGGGCCTGGACCAGACATGACATTTGCCCACTTCTCCATCTGTGGCTCCCAAACACTATTCCTTCACCTTCCCGTAAAGAGCCTTCCATTAGGGCCCAGGTGGTACCAGCTCTGCCACCCTTTTCTCTTCTATTCACTGTTACCATCATGTCCTGGTCACTCCCTTGCAGTCATCAAGATATTTAGAACCTGGCTTACATTTTTCTTTTCCATCCTAAATTCACCTTCAACTTGGATGACTTCAGTGGAGACCATGTTCAGCACCCAATAGCTGTTGTTCTTGGAGATCTTTGACTCCAGTGGATCTCCATTCATTCCACACTCCATCCATCACTTCTGTGACCTCTTCTGGCCCTTGTCTTGATGGACGAGGGATTCTTCAGAAATTTTAAACTCTAAATCTAGGATTTTTAGAACATCGATTACCCCCGCTACCCTTTGTAGGCTTTCAGTCAGTTGAAGAATTAGTAGAAAAGCTTAAAGGAGAATTGAAATTGAGTACCCATTTGGCTGCTGATAAATCTAGGTTGGAGAATGTGGCTGGGACTTGCTGTGGAAGTGGGAGCCTCCTGCTGCTTCCTTGTCTGGCAGTAAACCTTAGAGCCCACAGTGGCAGAGGGAGTGAGCTGTGCACCCGGATGCAGCCCGGCATCCTTTGCCTTGCCTCCCATCTCCGGGCTTCTATGGTGATAGAGCCGCCGGTGAGCAGGGACTTGGTGCACCCACCCCACGCGATGGGGGTCTTGGGCCAACACAGGTCAGGTCCTCACCATCTTACAAATCAACAGGTCTTTTCTTTTTTTCACTCCATTCCTGTGTATTGGAGAAAATTACAAGGGCTTCTCCCATGGTTCTTTCCCAGGAGGGCAGAAGCATGTGTGGAAGTTCCTGCTTTCTGAGTGAGGTATGTAGGGTGCTGGGAGGAGGAGGGGAGAAAGCAGGTCTTCCCAAACATGAAATTCTTCCAGCTCCTCACACCTGTACTCTCCCTATAACCAGTCTTTAAACTCAAAGAGACCTTCAGACCTTTGGCTTCTGTATTTTTCCTTCTGCTTACCTGTGTCCTCCTGATTTTATTATCTTCTCTGACCATTGTTTCAGTCTGGGTCTAATCAGAAGAAACCACACAGCCATTTGAACAGGGAACACTTACAAAAAAAAGTATTAACTATAACAGGAGCTTAGAGTAATGAGGGATTGGGTAGTAAGAAGTTAAGAGAAATACTGAATATAGGGACAGGAGCTGTGAGGAGCAGGTGCTAAGGTGCCACCTTTAGGGGGGCACCCAGGGAAGAGGGGCCCTGCCCAGGGCTAAGATTGGGACGTCCTTGAAGAGGGCACAGAGGTGGCTCACTGGATGGCAGCAAAGTTGCTGTCGTGCAGTGCTGCAGAACTTGCTGGAACTCTGCCCCCTGGAGCATGCTGGGAGGGACAGGCTGTCCGTGGGGGTGTCTCACTGGAGGCTCTCTGCTGCAGGCTGTTCGAGGTAGGGGCCTGGCAGGAGCCTGTTCCACCTGCCTTTTCCTCCCTCAGTCTCTCTCCAGGTCCAGTGCCTCTCCTGACAAAAGTTCACATGGTGCCAGCCAGCAAAGGAAAAATACTTAAAGGACCCAGAATTATTTTCACAGAGCGGGCAAGAAGGTTGCATTTGGAGCGGAGAGGCAATAAATTGACAACCAGTACATTTACCTTTAACTTTCAGAGATATTACTTCCATTCCACTTGGATTAACTTTGCCAGCCTGCTGAAACTCCAAGGCTGGTCACGTTTACCATTGGTCTTTACTTCCCGTTCCCCCAGGTTGCTGAAGCGCTCGGAGATAGTGGTCTCTGTGTAGACTGGTGCCACGATATATCCGTGGTCCGAAGCATTGCACTTCTTTGTGACTTCCAGTGCTGTCCACAGTAGTGATGTTAAACTTTTAACACTCTCTTTAAGATGTTAAGTGTTCACCACTTTCAATAATGATTTTACAGAGACAATAGGGGCTATGCACGGGAACATTAATTTCTGACCCACAAACCTACCTGTATTCCCAGCCATGCCCCTCCTTCTGTCCATCTCTGCTGAGGTATTAATATGCCCAGGACTGGGCTTCTGCCTGTGCTCCCACATCCCTAAGGAACTTGCTCTTTGGATTCTTCTGTTCCTTGAATCATCACTGTTTCTATCACATTTAAAAATAAATCAATGTATAAATATATATTTATGTCTCTCCTAACTTCAAAGCAGTAATAAAAACCTGTCTGCTGCCCTGTTCCTCTGCTTTTCTCCATGGCCAGCCTTCTTGGGGGGAACAGTAGTTTATGCTTGCTGTTATCTTTGCTTTCTCATCTCCAGTGAATTCCTTAACCCCCTGAAATTTGCCTTCCACCCACCACTCTATTGAAATAATTATGGCAAAGGTTAACCGGAGACTTGATCGCCAAATTCAGTAGACACTCTCATTCCTGGTACGGTATTCCATTCTCTTTTTGAAGCGGACAGCCCTTTCTCTCGGGTTCT